TCTATTCTATTCTATTCTATTCTATTCTATTCTATTCTATTCTATTCCATGCCATTCCATTCCCAATAAAGTATTCTATTCTATTCTGTTCTATTCTATTCTACTCCTATTCCAATTCTTCCTGTTCCTGTTATTCCTATTCCTAATTATTCCTATTTCTATTCTTATTCATGAATGCCAGACAAATATTTAAGTAATTAGAGAATAGTTGTCCGCAAAGAGTTCATGGGATCATTCTGAGGACCGAGCTCATTTTAATTCAGAGCCAGTAGATCAAAGTCAAAAATTAAGTTAAATGCATTAGTTTGATTTCTTTTTTTTTGCTGATAAACACATTCTAGTCTGTGCAAAGAATATTTGTAACTACTGGTTGAACTGTGGAATCCTTATTGCTGTCTGCGCTTGGTCGTTTCCTTGGTTGCTTTGAATCTCGTGATAAACAAGCCCTCAGTAAAGAACAGCCTAGTCAAGGAACCGCCAAGAACGGTCCCACCAACATTGACAAGATTAGCCACTAATATAGAACAAGAGAACACACCCCACTCCCTTCTAGCACTAATGACGTTACCTAGTTAGGCAATGAAACGTCTGCAACAAAACAATCACGCTCAGGTCCCTCAAAGGGACCACCACCCTTTCACCCAAAGAGTAGAAAGAACTGGAAAAGTCACTGCAACGCCCAATACCTTGTTGCTATCTTCTCCTCCGCGAGACTAATAGAGCTGTCTGATGCTGGATAATCCTCTTCGAATGCCACACTTGGCGGCGGCGACGGAAAGTCTTCCAGGTTGTCACTGGGACTTTCAGGCGGTGGTGGATATTCTGAGATAGCACCCCTAGGATGAGCCTGGGTTTCTTGGATGAAAACATCATCATCGTCCTCTTCTCGACCGAATGGTGGTGGGGACATCTGGAGGCAGGTCTCTGAGATGCGAAGGGAGAACCTCCCTTGGCCAGAGAGAGATTCTGGCTCAGAGAAGGAACTATTCTTAGAGGGGATCCCATGCCACGGTTGGAAACCCTTCTGGCCAGATGTTTGAACAGAGGTGGAGCTCTTTGGGTGGTTGTCCTCCCTGGCCCACTTCACTTTAGCTGGGGGTTGTCTTTGAGACAGAGTAGACTTGGACCTCCAAGTTGTTTCTTCTGATGGCTCTTTGCCTGGGGGGTGAACACTTTCCAGGACCTGGCTCTGAGCTTTGTTATTGTCTTCCTTGTCAGCTCTGGGCGGCCATCTTGTGAGCGGGTTGTCTCCAGCAGTGGAGAAGTCTGAAAGAGTCGGGGTGGAGGATGCCGAACCGCGAGAGGAATAGCTCGTTTTGGAAGGGGCGACCCGCCTGAAGCCTTGCTTGGCACTGGAATGCTTCTCCTTCATCTCTGGGCAGGGGGAGACAAAGGCTGAGGTCCGGCTGTGATGTCGGAGAATATCGGGGACCTTCTGCCTCTCGGCGGGCGGCACTGAGCTACCCACATTCTCACTGCTGTGATGAGGGCGGTACTGCGTGAAGGCCGATTTTTCCAGGTGGCCTCTTTTGCTATTGCCGAATGACCTAGGAGAAAGCAAGCAAACAGAGTTTCCTCAAAGAGAAATTAAAACAAAATAGGAGAGGGATAAAAAAGCACTCCCAACCACCCAAACGCCCCCCACTTCCCCAAGTCAAGCAGGGATAATTTGTAAAAATAACCAGGGAGGTGACTATTATAAGGGAAGTAAGGAGAGAATAAAATAGAATAACAGAGTTGGAAGGGACCTTGGAGGTCTTCTAGTCCAACCCCCTGCCTAGGCAGGAAACCCTATACCACTTCAGACGAATGGTTATCCAACATCTTTTAAAAAACTTCCAGTGTGTTGTGGTCCGCTGGCAGCAGAATCGGACTGTGGGGAAGAACATGGGCCAGTCTGGGAGTCTGGGGAGGACTCAGACGATGGTCCTGCGTCCCATGCAGAGATGGGGCCAGGGCCATCTGGGAGTTATGCGCTGACTTCGGAGTCTCCAGAATCCGGCAGCAGCGAGGCAGAGGAACCAGGGGAGCCTGTTCCTAGTGCACGTGTGCGCAGAGCTGCCAGAAGGCAAGAACAGTTAAGAGAAAAGGGGCGACTCGGGAGTAAGACTCGGGATTGCCCCTCCCATAAGGTACAAAGGAAGTGCAAAAGGGACAGGAACCTTTGCAGGAAGCAACGTCGTTCACTCTGGTCGGTTTGGAACCTGAAAGCTCTTTGGTGCATTTGTGCCCCGTTTGGTTTTGAAAGACCAATTGGTAGGGGTGCTCTTGGTTTCATAGATTATATGAGAAGAGAATGTGATGGCTCAGTGGTTAAAGACGCTGAGCTTGTCAGCTGAAAAGCTGCGTTCAAGACCTGAGCGCTGCATGACTGGGTGAGCTCCCATTACTTGCCTCAGCCCACAGAGCAGCCCAAAAGCATGCAAATGCGAGTAGATAAATAGGTACCACTTGGATGGGAAGGCAATAGTATTCCATGCACGTTGAAATATAGTCCTGCTGGCCACATGTCCGAAGCATCTTCGGACAACGCATTGGCTAAGAAACAGAGACAACCAAACAGCCCCCCCCCCCAAGAGTTTGACACGACTGGCCAGGGGAAACCTTTACCGTTATCTTTTACATTATTTGAATTAGTTCCTTGCTTGGGAGTATATAGTTAATGCTTTCATTTTAAAGAGCAAATAATGCAGCAAAAATGCAGCTTACACCTAACCGTTGTACTCTGGAGTTCATCGCTACCAATATATTAAACCAGTGGTCGCCAACCAGTGGGCCAGGGACCACTGGTGGTCCATGAAAAAATTTAGGTGGTCCACTGAGAAATGTCATCCCCAAAGCATCCCCCAAGGCAATTAATCCAGGCTGCGCAGGAGCACAAAGGGAAAGAAAGACTTCTGCTGCTTCTGCTGCTTTCCTTGCATGAAGCCAAAAGTCTCTCTCTCTCTCGCTTCCCCGAAAACGGAGCTGGAGATGGTATCCTGCGATCCCAAATAAAGAACGATCGATCGGTAGGAAAACAGGGTAGGGAATTTTCCTGCAGACTTTGGGGAGGATTTTCCCAGGGTCTCCGATCCGCGGGATTTAAAATTATGAGTTTGGTGGTCCCTAAGGTCCAAAAGGTTGGCGACCCCTATATTAAACCATAAGCAGGATCTCCATTCCAGCAAATAGGTGGTTTTACAAATAGGGACTGGAACAGAAACATAAAACTTTTAACATGATCGAAGGTCCCAGGGATACCCTGACTCTACGAGGGAGCAGGGCACAAATATGTTAGGGTTAAAACGATGACAAGCTGAAATAGTGCTCCTCTGATTTCCCTGCCACCTGGAGCAGTGATTATGTGGGATATGCAAAGCCTCGGAAGGGAGTCCTCTCCCAAAGCGTGTGGTCGCAAGCAACCTGCCCTCCTCCCTTCTGAATGTTGGGAGCAGCTGTGAAGTCTGCACGGCTTAGCACAGGCTAAGTTTGGGTTTTGCTGGAAGTTGCTGTGAGCCTCGCGGTGGAGGCGGCGGAGGAAGTAAAGCATTTGAGGGTGTTTGTGGCCGTGGAGGTGACTGGGAAGTTTTGGAAGAAACGCTATCAATCGTTCTGGCAGAGCCAGCCTTTCGCTCAAGCTGATGTAATTGGATGAGAAGCGTGTGTTTGAATGCTCTCTTAACGCTAATTATTCATCCTTTCTTCTCCCTCTTTTCTCTCTCTCTCCTCCCTCTATCTTTTCTTTTTTTATTTTCTTTCTTTCTCTTTCTT